TCTTTCAAAAAAAAAGTTTGACTAAAAATTTAATTATATTATGCGCTTTTGTTCTATTAGTTTGAAATCTCAATCATAAAGCTACTACATAGTTAAGTATAATCTCCATTTTATTTATGTTTCCTATTTCTTACCCCACAATGAATCCAATTATAGGCTATAATGCTAACCTACTATTATTTTTATATTCATTTAAGTCACCTTTAATAGATATTATTTTATTCAAGCATATTGTATAATATTTTACCCATCTCTTCCCCTAAATTATTTTTTAAAATTATTTTGTTAACTTGATTAGTATAAACCCTAATCACATTTATAACTTCTCTATCTTCAATCATGTTAATAAAATCTTCACTCACTGATCATGGAGAGGATGAGAAACTCTTAAAAAAGTTTAATACCAGCATAATACATAACGTCCATATAAATTTGTAACAAATATCAAAGAGAAATACCTCTTAAGAGGAAGGATAAGTTCATCCTTTAATATAATTGAGAATTATCATCTCGACAGGTGTGTTGCTATAGTTTCTAACTCCTTTAAAATAAGTGGACCACCCAAGCTCCACACTCTCCTAAATCGACAATAACACGCACATGCTAATTACATGAAGCATTATTTATTAATTAGAAAAGAATTGATTCATATGCAATAAATTATTAAACATTCAAGAAATTGATATCTTTTAATTAATCAACTTTGCTAAAATATGTGAATATGAAGGAATAAATCTAAGCATGCGTCATTCTTATCTATGAAAAAGCATACTAGCCTAAATTAAATATTTCCTTGGAAAATCCTCCAAATTAAGTCATTTAGATTTAAGGCTACGATGATATGGATGCAATTAAATTAGTCTAATATAAGTTTGAAGTTTATTGAACAATGATTTCCCAACACTATAGTTATACCCCAATTCCAATCTCAAAGATATCTTCTATACCATCAATCAACACTGAAGTCAGAGTAATTAATTTTTATTTGAATTGAAAGGGTAAGAAATATATATCTATAGTTGACCTTTGTATAAAGAAATAAAAGAAACAAAAAAATTCAAGCTAACCTGTAGACGTCGATCACGAAGTCGTGCCGAAATCCGCTGCAAAACGGCGCCGCTCCGGTCAATTTCCCGCAATTCTGCAGAAATCTCGCGATCTGCCTCGTCGTTGCTCGAATCGCGTCTATAAAATGAAGCAGAGCTCTGCCTTCTGTCGCTACTTCTCGATCGCTGCCTCCACTCCTTACCTCCCTGCCGACCCACCGCAAAGCCTCGTCCATCTCTTCCTCCTGCCAGTCAAAGCCTCCCGTATCCCCACTGCCTTGCCGACCTCCTCTTGGCCGAGAGAGAGAGAGAGAGAGAGAGAGAGAGAGAGAGAGGAGAGGGAGAGGAAGAGAGGTGCGTTCTTACCTAACCGAACTCGGCGCTCCTACATCCGACGCCGTCCCTGCCTGCTGGATCGGAAGTTACACATTCGATCGGAAGCATGCAACGGGAGCTCACTGTGAGGGTAACTTTCTCCTGCCTCTCCGTGCCTATCTTCGGCCAATCGCGAAATCCACCGAACAAGAGGGATTTAGTAAAATTCGGGATTTAAGCTGTAAATCTTTAAATCCAAGGATTTACCCATCGCCGATTAACGTGCATAAATCGTTTAGCTAGTTGTGATACATTCGGCTTAATTCTCGCTGTAATCCCGGCAAAATCCCGTCGATCCGCCAACGAGAGAGTGGAGAGGAAAAGCTGTAATTTATTAATAATTTTTTTAATTATAATGTATTTTAATTAATTATATTATTTACTATTAATTATATTTTTTTCAATTAAATGAATTAAATTAATTTTTAATTAATTATATTATTTTTTTTTTTAAAATTAATCTTAATTAATACTTTTTTAATTTCATTAATTATTAACAATTAATTATTATTTGTTTAAAGTTTATAATATGGATTTAATTATTAATTATAATAATCATTTTTAATTAATTTTAATAAACATAATTAATATAAATATTAATTAAGAGTAAATATAATAATAAGATAGTTATATAATTATAATTGTTAAAAAAAAAATAGTTTAAAAAAAAATGTTAAAAAGAAAATTACTATACCTCTTATCTCCCTCGAACCCGCGCCGACGACCACCAAGTATAACTCTCTAGGCCTAAAACTCGAGAACCGGTTTCATCGCCACGCAGACAAAACGACCCCCTATGCATCTTCTTACGTGGTGGGAGGAGTGCGTCATCGACGCTTGCGGACGAGCGGGTAATTACCAAATTCCTTTCTTCGAAGTTGGTATCGCCTTTCCGCCCCTTTGGGGAACCCCGCCTCTGCCCCGCTTTTCTTAGCGTGGTGGGAAGGGATCCGGTGCGATGCGCGCGACGAAACGGGGGATACCCTTAAGTACCCGCTTGCGGGGAAATAAACTGTTCTGCAAAATATTTTCAAAAACTAAAAAATACCTTTTCTAAAAAAAAAAAAAAATACCCATGCACGCTTTTCTTGCGTGGTGAGGGGGATTACGAAAATTCACACGGCCGCGGTTTGTCCTCGAAAGACGGGCATCTACCATGCACGCTTTCTTTTAAGCGTGGTGGGAATGGTCCCAATTTTCCGTAGTTTTCCCCTAAACAGGGAGACGCGGAAGGCTGCCGAATTCGGGTGAATTGCAACGCACATTGGACCTCATTTGAACTCAAAAAGAACATGGTGGACGGATCTTGAGCCACTCGAATTGACAGCAAGACGAGGGGTGGACTTGAACTTGGAACCATGCTCAGAACTCAAATCAAATGACTATTATAATTGAAAAGTGCTAAGCCTAATCATATGGAAAGAAATTCAAATGAACCTTGAACTCAAGTGAATTGAGTGATTTGTGACACCTTGATGAACCTAATCTAAGCTTGAATTTTTTAACTCAAAGAGCACAGGAATTTTAAAGTGGAACTTTGAATCTTTGCAAAGGACTTTGATTTGAACTCAGTTGAACATTACAATTGAACACTGTACTCCATTGAACTTAACAAGACAATTGACGGTGAAGATTGAGCTGTTACTTGATCCAAACAAGGAGGGCAACTCAAATGAACGAAGAGGGCTCATTCGAGTCATGAACTGTACCGAACAAAAAGACTTTGACGGTTAACATACAAGTTGATTATATGAAACTATGCACATAACTTGAATGACTTGGACAACATGAAACTTGCAAACCCGACCCCTTGAATTTGTTTGAACCAAACTCAAATGAACAAGTTGGATGAAACTCACTAAAAGAATGTTGAATGGACATTCTCAAGATTATACAAGCGATGACTGATAGAATTAAATGGCTTGTAACATTTAAGCAAAAATCAACTTGTAAGTGAGAACAGTTGATATCTGGAGTCGTCATGCAAGCAAATTTCCAATGCTTCTTAAACCAATACATTTGGTTTGCATGATTAAAATCTCCAATTAAGTGTGGCTCATTTTGAGTTTCATTATAAATATTAAAGTGCATGTTAACATACTAGAGAGACATCAAAGAGCTACAAGGAAAGGAAATGTCATATCTCTTAATCAACAAACAATTCACATCCAAGAAATATAATTAACGAGGAATTGCCAAAATACTAACAAAGATGTGGATCTATTTGAATCTTATGCAAGCAAACAAATTTCAAGCCATGTTTTAAATCATCAAATAAATCACCTTTGAAGATAAGGGATTGCAAGCGGACGTGCTACAAACAACAAGAAGAGGTTGAAAGAATGTTTGTGGTTACAAGGAGCCATGAGCTAAATCCTTTCGTAAAATGAAACTTGATCTTACAGCAAACAATTGATTCAAAAATCTGCCAAACACGATCTCCACGAAGACAGATGTATGTGCCACATGCCACTGATTTGGTAAGATGCAAAATAGTACCTATATAATGCAGTATACCTTGAAGTCATTTCATACGAAAAGGAAGACATCTTACCTACCTATTATCAGGCATAGCAAGATGTGCTGAAAAGATCAAAAGGACTACCATAAATATATGAAGATATGGAAAGTGCAATATTCTTACGATCTAAGCAGGAGATTAGTTAGTGCACTATGACTGTCTTACAAAAATCAGTAAATAGTGCATGACAGTCTACCCTTGTGGCAAGCAGCGAACAACTCTATTCAAGAAGCTGCTACGCACACGCCACCGGATCTGCAACCTCCATACAAGCAGACAGGAAGGCGTTTATAAATAATTCCAAAAATACCCCCTGCACGTGCACTATAAATTGTATAACACATAGGTACACTAAAAGGGGGAAAATATAATCCAAACCCGCATTGGGCCCGGACGAGCGTGTATTGGTACACACGTGACGTCTAGGGATGCTGCGCGGGTTGACAAGTGAATTCAAGTTCGAACCTGATCCTTCTATACGGGGTCCAAAGAAGTCGACAGGGTTCGAACCATCAAACAAATATGTGGTCGTTGGCGACCAGAATATTTAATATTTTATATATTCAATTATTAGGCCTTCAATGTACTACCACAAATATGAATTCACTATAAAGGCACGAAGCCTACAAAACCGATCATCTGTCGACAGCCCACAGAGTTGACGGGGTTCAATCAATAAAAAGAGAAATGGACCCCGAAACACCAACGAGATGGCCTGTTGAATACAGATTCAAAACCGGAGGGAGTTCCCAATATTCCAAATACTCCCAAATATCCAAAGTTTTTATTTCAAATTTTCCAAAGCTCCACACAAAATCCAAAAATGCCAAATCCAAAATCCCAAAATTTCAAAAATATTTAAAATTAAACTATCATCTCAACGCTCTAAGCCAAAATCATCCACCCTCTGCAAAGTTTTCGAGGATGGACAAACTAAATCAACTTCAGCTCACAAGAGCGAAATGCCTAGTCGAAAATATCCTAGGCATCCATTCTCAACAATCCTTGCCAGATAAGGACGTGGGTTACGTGCTCAACGCAGTTTTTTGCGCCAATGGCACTGCAGGTAAAACGGTTATTGACCGGGGCCCTTCTGAACCGAGTGGTTTTGCCGCCAAATGGCACCAAAATAAGTTATGGCCAGAAGCCAATACGCTCCTTACTGCGGTTAAATATCCTTTGAGATATGAATCAATAGGATATGATCGATAGGGCACAAGCCTCTGTAAGCTAAGGTGGATTCAAATTTGCCCTTAGACAAACATCAAACCCCGGGTCTACAAGGTTCCTTTGACGAAGCAAAACCATGGCTGCCGAAAGGATCCTTCGTCAGGTTGGGTACGACTACCTCCTCTGGACTAAGTAGACCGGGACCACGATGGCCCGGGAATGACGGAACCATGGGATTTTGACGGGTCTTAATCATCCATTCCCCCATCCGCTTTAAGTGCTAGGATGGGCAATTTCTATTTTAAATTAGCCAAAAATGTCCAAATTTCCAATTTCCAAATCCAATTTTTACCATCCCTAAACCCATGCTGCTACTATATGCCAGATACAGTATATTCTACGTATACTGATTTGACGGACTGCCTTAATCGAAAGTTCTCTCTCAATGATTGAGAGGGGTTAATTAACTATAGGCTTGCGCCTATAGGAACCAGAACTCAGATCATAAATCCTCACAAAAATTCGAGGGCGAAATCTCTGGGTAGTGTCTTATCTACAAAAACCCATCTGCCTTTCAAAAATTTACCTCGGAACTTAGTTTCGTTAAAACATCCCTGCCGAATAAGAAAAGCGAGCGGAGGCCGAGGCCGAATTTTCGGAGCCCACCAATCTAGTTGACAAGGAAAATTCTTCAGAATCATTAATTAATTCCCAATTGATGGAGATTTTTGGTTTTGGGTCCAACACTATAACAACCGAAGGTTTCTATGCTAAAAAGAGAAATTAAAGAATTAAGAGAGAGACCAATGATGGTAGGGTCCAATGTGAAATAGATGATGGGTGGAGCTTGAAATCACAACAATAAGGAGCCCTCTTTGGCCTCATTTATGTAACTTGTGCGATAATGTGAAGGAAAAAATGGCGAAGCACTTGAAATAGGATTTTGGTAGCACATGAATTAGGGGGATAGAAAGTGTAAGGATGAATTTAATTGAGCCTAAAAAGTATTCTTTAACATCATATTCCATGATTTAATATTTATGACATCTTTAACTTCTCGTTTGGGACGGCTTTTTTATTGCTTCTTAAAGTAGCTTTCTAAAAAAAAACTGTTTTAAGAAGCATTAAGAAAGCCGTCCCAAACGAAGCCTAAGACTTACCGATGATGGTCTTTAAGGCTTATGGATTATGGCTTGGTAGGAGTAGGGCAGAGGTAGAATCGCCTCAACTGAACTGATCGTTTGGGCAAGTTCATAAAAGAAGAATCACACAGTATATAAGATCAACAACTAATGCCTAACCAAAGGCATAAATCCCACCAACTAATGCCTCATATTCACATCAATAACAAACTTATAATTATCATAATTAGTGGTCAGTTTCCTACAATATCTTCATGCAAATCATGCATATGTTGTGCAAATGACCGTGCGAATTCACTAAATTTATACTCGATTGGAAGGTCAACAAGATCTATTGACAAATAATTTTTTTTCAAAAGGATTTTGAAGTTGAAATCTTGTGATTATTTCAAAAGGATTCATGGTTGTAGACCTATTAACAAATAAATTATTTGTGAACCCAACTATCAACTCCAATAAGTAAGTATGCTCTTTGATCAAACGACATTACAAATCACTAAAATCTCTAATTAGCAATCTTAATTTGTCCATCAGTTTATGGGTGATAACTAGTAAGCAATTGAAGGTTCTAATTGAGTTTCTTTCTTTTCCTTAAAAACAAAAAAAGAAATAATTCATGTCTTTTACATCTCTCTGTCTGAAGCAGTTATTTAGGATATTCATGTTGTTAAAATAATTTATTGAGACAATTTAGTAGTATGGGAAGTATTAATAGTTT